ATCGGATCAAAGAAGATGTAATATATTTGTATTCTGTAGAATGGTAGAGTATAGTGAGTATTGTGCTGACAGTCAAATTTCTTGCATAATGCTAGCACCCTCTACTGGAGAAGACAAAATCTTTTTCAGTGTTTCCTATGTGCTTTATGAAGCACCTTTATATTATAACATATTGTTAAGAATAAGGCACATTATAGATCAGATACCTTCATTATGCAGATATTCTGTCCTGTAGCGTCATACCTTTAGTTAGAGTTTAAATTTATTCATTTAGCACTTGTATCCAAATGTCTCAATGTGCATTCAAACATTTTTAGTATGCATGTTCCAACTTATAATTCAACTTAAGCAGGGCTCTGTTTAATTTATCATTTATATTTGAAAACATGTACTTTTAAAAAAAATCATTCAATCTTACTAATTTGTGTTTATTTTACAAAGAAGAAATTTGCTGTAATAAGTTATTGCTGAAAATGATACTGTTATAATGTAAGCCATTAATTTCTAAACTCTTGAAGTGCTGGTATACATGGCTAAGCATTACTAATTAGTTTTTACTTAATTTGTAATGCGTTCTTGCAATTTCTACAAAACTTGCTAGCATGCTAGATAATTTTATCTTGTGACAAGTTTAAATTGGTATAATGTGCAACTAAATGTTTAAGTTATCAAGGCGTAATAACAAATGACAGTGCAGCACTGGCCATCAGTTGACCTCAAACTCATACAATGAAGCCAACTTTCCACTATCTCTGACATTCGCATACTTTTTTCACATTTTGTCCCTAAAAGGCGGACACACTGAACCTTCAAATTGGATGCGAAGCAGCCATTACCTTCCGTTTATTCACTATGGTTAAATAAATGAACAGTACATTTATGAATATACCCACATAAAACAAATGACCAGCGAAAGGTTTAAAAGAAAAACATAGAAGGTTGTTTTCTAGGGCTAATGAATGTAAATTATTATGTAATAATTATAAAATAATTACTTGGAGCATAAGTATGGTTTACACTATATATTGATAATTTGCAACTTGTCAACTAACTTTAGATTATTATTAGACTGTTAGGTTAAGATTAGGGTTAGTAGAAGAAGTTACTAGTCAGTAGAATGGGTGTTGATGACTGGTAGTTGACATGTAGTTGCAAAGTTACTTATAGTTAGGAGAACATTAGAGTGGACTATCAAAATAACGTGTTGCCATAAATATTCATTACTACACATTTTACAGAAATGGTATTTAAAGATCAAATGTTAAGTCCAAAAATTGCAGTTCTCACCTCACAATCCTAGTTTTGATTAGACTTGATTCTTTCATTGTATCCAAAACCAAATCAGATCTGAAAGCTCCACATAACTCTATGTACCTCTCACTCATACTATTTCCCATTGGAAATTTGTGACCTGTTGGCAACTTGACTCAGGCCAGCATTTCTCCATATTGTTGAGCTCTACCATGACCATGTCCTTGCTAGCATCATGCTTTACCAGTTGAGTTAGAGGGAGTGTAGTTTCATACCTGAATATCTGGTGTTCTTTGTGTTTAGATGCGTGTGGGCTGACAGACCCGGTTCATGTGGAAAGCCTGCAGGAAAAAGCTCAGGTGGCCCTGACCGAGTACGAGCGCATGCAGTACCCCGGGCAGCCCCAACGCTTCGGACGGCTCCTACTGCGACTGCCCGCTCTGAGGGCCGTGCCCGCCAACCTCATCTCTCAGCTCTTCTTCATGCGCCTTGTGGGCAAAACGCCCATCGAGACGCTCATCCGTGACATGCAGCTGTCTGGCAGTGCCATCAGTTGGCCGTACGCACCCGGACAATAACCATTATCAGATGTGACCATGAAACCAGTCTGAACTTCAAACTATCTCAGTGTGATTGTGTTTTTTCAATAACACATTCACTTCTGATATTCACCGGATCACCTAATGCAACAGGGTCATACTGTGGGAATGGTGGATTCAGTAGTACATGGCAGAAGGCTTGATGTATGCGCTATGTGAACCATTTTATGAGGCCCAGAAGCATTCTTAAAAAATGACTTGAGAAATCTTGGTTATCTGCTAGCCAAAGGTAAGATGTTAGGTACAGTTTCATAGCGAGTTATTAAGTGGAAATTGGTTAAAACCCTAAACAACAAGCTCTGTCAGTTGGGTGTAAACATGAAAGTCACTTTGGACTGTCCCTGGAGGCAGCAGGAAATCAAGTCCCCCACATATTCTGCTCTGCCCTGTCCTTGTGTACCAGAAAGCCTGAAGGAGGAGGGAGTAGACATGATGACATCCAAAAACCCAAACAAGCCAAACCGAAACAGTCAGAATTGGGACTTAGGCATTTGTTTTGCCAATGATAACTACTTGGCTTGTATTTTTTAGCTCTTTTTCCCTATTAATGCTAATGCATATCTATGAGGAGAGATTGAAATTGGCAAAAGCTAGTAGATCATGTTTTGTGACAACCATTTGACAAATGAATTGCGGGCTGTATTTGTACTTTGAGTTAAGGTACAGACTTGTCTCTTCACGAAAGATTCATTTTTTAATGCACACTGCATTTGCGATAGATGACAAATGAAGTAGTCATGCTTTTTTTTTTTTCAGATGAAAAACCAGTGAACATTCTTCATGCAAGTTGTTCATCAACACACTACTGGTTTCTATTCTGCTTTTCTGCTATTATTTTTTTTTCTCACTTACCAGTTCATGTTAAACTGGTAATGAAGTCACATTATGTATGTTGACCAAAAGAAATACCTCTACAGTCTTTTGAGACTCAAACGGACTTTCAGTCATTCACGGCTGGGTCAGTTTTTAAATTTATCAGCACACTTGAGCTGCTCACTTTACACTAAAGAGGAGTGATTGGATCTATCTGTCTGTTATGTTTGGCCGTTTTCAGTAAGAAACTGGCATTGCCTGTTTTGTCTTTCGTGGAGCAGTGCTCTGGTGTGGCGTCTCACAGGTGACAGCATGTTGTATTTGGCTCTTGTTGTGAGATGTACGTTTTCTAGCCTTATCATACATGTGAATGACTAATATTACCTCATATTTAGGCCTTGAAACGTATCAGGCGGTCTAATATACATAAATGCATCAAAACGGCAACATGTACAGTTTTCATTTTAATATCTTTGTCTTTCTAAATACTTGTGTATGACAGCTTGATTAAACAAAAGTATCATACATTGAATTGTGTACTGGTGAGTGCTTTTTTGTCAGTTACCTATCAAATTACAAAGGAAACGTTTTCTTTAAGAGTTTTATACACAAATTGTAAAGAGATAATTTTACAGGAAAATCGAAAATTTTCTTACAACTCCTGCAACTTTACAGACACAACTCACTCAGCACAGCTTGTAAAAGTCTAGATAATAATAATAATACATTTTATTTAGTATAGCGCCTTTAAAAGAGTACTTTCTCAAAGCACTTTACAACACAAGCAAACACAAAAATCCAAAGTAATACACAAGAATACAGAGTAACAATCAGTTAAAAGCAAGACGAAAATAAAAAGTTTTAAGACGAGATTTAAAAATACCTAACGAATTTGCTTCCCTGATGTCAGCCGGGAGAGAATTCCACAATTTGGGGGCGTAAAATGAAAATGCCCGATCACCCCAGAACGCAGTCGTGTTTTAGGAATGACTAAAAGACCGCTGTGAGAAGATCGCAAAAAAAAAATAGGGAATTAAAAGCTCAGCCAAGTACTGAGGAGCCAGACCCAGACCCTGGCCCCTGAAAGAATTCTGGCTGCTGAATTTTGTAAATGTTGAAGTTTGTTGATGCAAGATTTTGAGACTCCAATAAGAAGGGCGTTACAATAGTCTAGACGAGAAAAGACAAACAAATTAATTAACCTTTCAGCAACAGAGAAAGACAGCATAGGTCGTAGCCGTGCAATATTTCTGAGATGAAAGTACGAGGTCTTAGTGTTCAGCAAGAAAGGCTCAAATGACAAGCTGGGATCAAAAATAACGCCCAGGTTTTTTAATTTAGGCTACTTTGTAACTCCAGAGCAACACCATCAACAGACAAAGCTAAAGAGCTAGCATTACGCAATTTATGGGGAGAGCCGAGAAGCATAACTTCCGTTTTGGAACTATTCAAACAAGAAATCCACAACTTAATCTCAGAGAGACAGTGTGAGAGATGGGAAATATTCACATCTTGGCCCGGATTAGAGTGGATGTAAATCTGCGTATCGTCAGCGTAAAAATGGTAGTTCAGTTCGAGAGATCTTAACAATTGCCCAAGAGGAAATATATAAATGCTAAAAAACAAAGGACCAAGTAATGAGCCCTGAGGGACACCAGTACTAACAGGACCGACCTCTGATCTGTGACCATTCATAAAAACAAAATGACTACGATCAGTTAAATAGGATCTGAACCAATCCAGAGCAATCTCTGTCACCCCAAAGACCAATTCGAGTCGACTAAGTAATACCGTATGGTCGACGGTATCAAAAGCTGCACTTCGATCCAGAAGGATAAGGATTGACACAGATCCAGCGTCAGATGCTAGTAACAAGTCATTAGTAACTTTGACCAAGGCTGTCTCAGTACTGTGGTTTTCGAAGCCCAGACTGGTATGGCTCAAAAACGTTGTTAACAGTCAAATGATTGTGTAATTGAGAAGCAACAACACCCTCTAAAATTTTAGCCAAAAATGGAAGATTTGATATTGGACGAAAATTGTTTAAATTGTTCACATCAGTATTTTGCTTTTTGAGAACAGGGGTGACCGCAGCAGTTTTAAGTGCTGCTGGCACAACACCAGTTGACAAGTACCAGAAAAACATAAAAAATTGACTGCCGACGTCTGTGAACCAGAGAAACAAAATGCATGTTTACGGACACAAGCAGTTTTAGCACTAAAATGGGTGAGAAAATCATTACACAACTGAACTGATGCAGTCTGAGAATTAGCACCGTCAACTTTAAGAAGACAGTTAAAAGTGTGAAAGAGATGCCTGGGATTATTTTAGTTATTTACAATAATCTGAGAAAAGTAGGATGATCTTGCTTTTTCAAGTGCTACTTTATATTGACCCAGACATGATGTATAGATGTATACAGTGTATGCATTCATGTGTACAGTTTTAAACAAAGAAATCCTGGTGATCAGTAATATTAGTCTTCTCTCCCCTTGCAAAGCTTCTGTCATAGTTTTTCACCAGTTGTTTGATATGACACAGCTCCTGCCTCAGTTTTTTACACTGGAGCTTCATAGCCTGGTATTCTGGAGACTAGAGAAAAGAAATGGGCATTAGGGATTGACAGACAAAAATATGAAATGACTGTAATGACTGATTTAGACCATTAGGGCCAATCAGTCTCCTAATACTGATGGACAAAAATCAATCTCCATCAAGAATTTTTTCTTACCCGCTTCAGATCCTTGAGTCGATTATATTCATCAGCTACAGCCTGTGATACAAAGAATATATATATGGGTTGTACTGCGTTTATATCATATAAAATGTTGTAACATAGATGTATAGCTGTCTGAGTTGACATTTATATATATTAGATGTCTGAGTTGACATTTATATATATTTTTTTTTCCCCTTTCTTAGCTTTATTATTTTTACTTTATTGGTTTTTGATGCCTACCTGGAACTTGGTGGATTCCTCATGGAGGGTGTCCAGTTCTCGGCTCAGTTCATTCATTTGATCACTGATATCATCCATTTCTGCACAGAGGTTCTTGTATTCAGTGAGGGAGATATCAAACTGTTTCTTGTACTGTCTGCGCTTATCATCGGTTGTAATTTCTGAATGAGAGCTGTAGCAGGAAAAAAAACAAGTGACTATCCTGCAAAACAATCTGCTATTAGAACAGTAATAGAAAAACATTCTTAACTGCATCAGCTCTTTTAAGCAGCACAGCACACAGTGGGGGGGGGGCGTCATGCATTCTAAATTAGTTACACTGTTAAAGAGTTGGATTCTCATGCTAAACATAGCCAACAAGTTTGAAAAAAAACTATTTGGACGTATGATGGAGTATTTCTGTGCCAAATACATTCCTTAAGTTTCGGAAAGTTTTTTTCAACCTTCATGATGTCATAAAAGGCAGAATTCCTTGTATGGGCACTTCTCCCGGAAGAGCGCATGCACACGTCAACCAGGGGTGCGTTTCCCAAAAGGAACTATGGTCACAAGTTCCGTCGTTACCAATAGAGTTCAATGGAACTAACGACCATAGTTAGCTAACAATGCTTTTGGGAAACGCACCCCAGAGCGAGAGCAGGAGCACACCCATCAACGTCGTCACAGGACTTACTCGAGAAGAATGTCTCCAGCGAAGTGTGTTTTTGGTTGTAAGGGAAAGTTAACCTTGTTCAGCTTCAACTGTGATCTAAAAATTCTCTAATATTGGTCAGTAATATCACAAACATGTAGAATTTCATCTTTTATTTCCTTCAAAGTATTTACAATTCAGTTTCCTTGTTTATTTTGATTTATTTTCAGTTTGGTGTTGGCATTTGACAGACATTTCAATTTAACAGATACATTCTGCTTCTGGTGTTGTTTTGGTGACTCCTTTTTTTTCTTAACTTCTATTTCTTTGTCCCTTTGGAAAGACTTGACACATCCTGAAACACAGAGAACAATATGTCATTGCAATCAGTTGCTAACAACCTAACAGGTGAAAATAACTATTAGTTAAACAAAATATGAAACAAATCATGCATCCATGCTTCCACAAAACATGCTTGTATAGTTATTGAAATATGATCCCAAGTTAGTAATGTAGTCTAGTAATGACCTGATATCGGAAGTATAACAAATTATAAATACTGATATGCAACCTAAAGCCAGGGACACACTTAACGACTAACTGAATCATTCTAAGACTGAACTGAACACACTTATGATTTTAAATGCTGACTGTAAACACCAACTGAACGCAAATGGCTCTGACACATTTGGGTGTGATCAGTTTTAAGTATCAAATTACATTCATAACCAGCCTTACAGTTGTGTAGTGTGTTCCTGGCTTAACTAATTAACTTAACTAATCTCAGCTGGCAAGATGGCTGGTTCACATGTACCTGGCTAACACATGAACCTGACTAATGTGCTAACATGGGGCCAGGCCACAGTGCATATTGGTATTATAATATCATATTAGCATATGTGAATAGCAATTAAAGAAACCACTCACCATTTCTCCAGTGTAACAATTCCACAGTCAACAGTCCCTAACACAAATGTACATCACAATAGTGATGTTTGTCGTCTTCTTCGTTGGAGTTTTAAGGCAGTTGGCATCCATAGTGTTGCATTACTGCCATCTGCTGTCTCACTTTAACTTACTATATCTTAATTAAATTCGTCCTTCCAGTCCAGTCCTCCTTAGAAAATTAAACAAATATCTCCGTCCTTGGTCACTATTTCCATATGTTACTATATATTTTTAACATTATACTCTACTATACCTATTTCCCGTAGGTGATTCTTGAATAGTGATGTTTGATTCTTCTTCTTCTGTTTTATGGTGGGTAGCACCAGCGTTAAGGTGCATTATCGCCACCTTCAGTGTTGGAGTGTTGAGGATCACAGTATGAGGATCGTTTGAACTCACAATGATTTCATATACTACTCACACGGTGAGGATCACAGTATGAGGATCGTTTGAACTCACAATGATTTCATATACTACTCACACGGTGAGGATCACAGTATGAGGATTGTGTGATATCACTGTGATCATCGCATGATCTCACGTGTTGACTGGGTTGTTTGTTCCCGTCATTTTGGTGATGAATGTTTTATAAACGAGGCCCAGTTCGTTTGATACTGAAAGATGGAGCAGTCCCAGCAATAAAATATCCTGGTCATGATTCGGAACCGCAGGCGGTTTGTAAAACGGCATCGAATTTCTGTGTTTTGTTGGCAATCGGCACACAAGTACTCCTGACTCTTTAGCTCTGCCCACGGCACGCCTCAGAGAGAATCATAAAGCTGTATCTTTCTTTTATAAATATGATCAAACTAAAGACTCTTTGGAGATATAAAGGACACAATACTTCTCTATAGGTACTCAAGATTAACAAGAGATTGAGCGAAACTGTGTGTTATGTTAAAGGAACACTCCACTTTTTTTGAAAATAGGCTCATTTTCCAACTCTCCTAGAGTTAAACAGTTGAGTTTTACAGTTTTCGAATCCATTCAGCCGATCTCTGGGTCTGGCGGTAGCACTTTTAGCTGCAGCTTAGCATAGATCATTGAATCTGATTAGACCGTTTGCATCTCGCTCAAAAATGACCAAAGAGTTTCAAAATTTTTCCTACTTAAAACTTGACTCTTCTGTAGTTACATTGTGTACTAAGACTGACAGAAAATGAAAAGTTGCGATTTTCTAGGCCGATATGGCTAGGAACTAGGAAAATCGCAACTTTTTATTTTCCGTCTAGGGGAGTTGGAAAATGAGCCTATTTTCAAAAAAAGTGGAGTGTTCCTTTAAGGATAAGAAGTATTCATGATTGAAACTCACTCGTCCAACTCATATGTGTCTAATTCAGTGGCCGAATCTCCAGTGGTGTAGCCCGTCTCACAGAGCACATCCTCAACCTCGTACGTTTCAGGTTTCTCCTGCACCGAGCTGCTCTGCACTTCAACCTCCTCCACAGTGTTGGAGCTCATCCACCGACTCTGGTACAATGGCTCTGGGGAGCAACCGTTCGCGTTCTCAGAATCCCTTTAAAACAAAGTGCAATGAAAAGGCTAGTGTGCATTGGTACTTGTAAGAATTTCTTGTCCTGAACATGGTCAGAAAGGCGGGCCGCACTCACACATTGCTTTTGTATGCACCCTCGCTGTAGACGCTCACTGTTCCCTCAGTGTAGGAGGTGAAGCTGTTCTCTGCTTTCAGATGAGGGGAAGCCTTCTCTGATAAAACCACAGTGGGGATGTATTGAGTGCTTCGCTGGAACAGACCGTGTACAAGTTTTAATGGAGCCAGAAGAATCACAGAACAAGATGTAATGAATCAGTTTAAGTCTGACGCTAAAGCTGCCACAGAATAACCTGATGGGAAACTAGATCAGACTGGAGGACAATCAGAGATACCATCACAGATTTCTCTGAACAATACGGTCTCTTAAGAGACCACTTGAGCAGTTTTATATGACACAATACACCAAGACACTGTAAATCCATCACAACACAATTATCCCACCCTCATGCACGTGCATCACTTCCTCTAATGAAGCGTAATTATTTCAGCTTTCAGGAAGCACACTTGATGAGAGTTGCACATGGCACTGGCTGTACAAAAATGCCTGTGTATTGTCTTAACAGCAACAAACAACATCTGAGGTCACTTCCAGGAAAGTCACTGCATAGTCCAAGAATTCAGAACGACCCATTTTGAAGTCACCTCACAGCGAACCAAATAATATAAACTACTCTTAAAGAGCAAAAGGTGAGTTTTAAAGCCTAATAAATAAAACTGTGCTGTTATTTTGTTGAGTTTGTATACTAAAGCTGTTTTTTTCTGATAATTACGCCAGAAGCTATTGTTTACAAGCTGCAATAAGCAGAAACTTAGCTAAAGCAAATGTACATTTGGATGAAAATATCAGTAATTGCACAAGCTGTTATCTTTATCTATAAAAATAACATGATGCATCACCTATATAGTAACTGGAACGCAAGTTATCTGTGACTGTCAATCAGAATCAGAATCAGAATGAACTTTATTGCCAGGTATGTTTTCACATACGAGGAATTTGTTTTCATGACAGAAGCTTCCGCAGTGCAACAGAATGACAGCGACAGTACAAAAACACAGATAATAAAATAATTTTAAAAAATAAAAAAATAGAACAAGTAAATAAGTAATAACAATATATAAATTGACAATTGAGTGTGCAGGTATATTACAATAGACAGTTTTTTTGTATGTACAGGTATATTATGTGCAAATTTGAAGTGTAGACTAAGTGTGTGTGTAGGGATATGCCGGTATCAACTTTTCATGTTGCGATTAATTGCTAATGCTTTTATTACGGTATACGGTATTATCACGGTATTGAAATTTAGTTTTAAAAAAAGTGCTGTCATAATACAGTATAACAGGTTTAATAACTTTTTTCTTATAACAAAAATAACTGAACATTTAAATGCAATAAAGCAATACAGAAAGCCCGTGGAACAGAGTGATATGCGTTCTTTATTGTGGTGTAACAGTGATTCAATATATTACTGTCTCTGGTGGGACATGTGATGTGCTGTCTGTATTTTGGCAGTTCACGGGAGAGATTTGCTTTATTAAAGTCCCCAAGAATGATTAAAACAGAGTCCGGGTGTTGTTGTTCTGTGTCTGTGATCTGATCAGCGAGTTTCTGTAAAGCGGAGCTCACGTGCGCTTGTGGAGGTATTTAAACACTCACGAGAATGAACGAGCAAATCTCCTGCGGCGAATAGAAAGGCTTACGGTTAATGAAAAGCGCTTCTAGATCGGGACAGCACATCTTCTTTAACACTGTTACGTCTGTACACCACCTTTCGTTGATGTAAAAGCATGTCCCGCCGCCGCGCGATTTCCCCTGCTGTCCGGTATGGTGTCATTCAGCCAGGTTTCCGTGAAACACAGAGCAGCAGAGTGTGAGAAATCCTTATTTGTCCGGGAGAGCAGAAGGAGTTCGTCCGTTTTGTTGGGTAGAGAGCGGCGGTTCGCCAGATGGATGCTAGGCAACGGCGTTCGAAATCCGCGCTGCCTGAGCTTCACGAGGGCGCCGGCTCGCTTCCCCCGTCTGCGCGCCCTGAAGCGCTTGATCAGCGCAGCTGCTCCGCCAACTCTTCATCTTCATCGGCGCCATCTTGTAAAGAGGGCTCAGATTGTTTGCTGACCTTTATTCTGTATCGGTCATTATGAAGAGAGCAATTCACTTCACAATCATTGATTCGATGAATCGATGAATGATTAACACAAAGGCAATTCTGATCATATGACTGATTTCATTGTACGGCACTGGTGTCGCAGGTTTAGATACACTATATTTAAATAATGTGGCCCCTAGTTTCATTTTGCAAAACCTCCTTAAAACATATTTACAGTCAAAATAATAATAATAAAAAATAAAAAATAATTATTTAAATTAGAAATAATTAAGCAGCTCAACTGTTTTCAACACTGATAATAGTTTTTTAATTTTTTTGTTGCAGTTTTCAGAAGCAAGTTGTTTTCATTTTTTTGTTGCAGTTTTCAGAAGCAAGTTGTATATTTTCAAAACTAATATCATATAGTACTAATATCACAACAGATCATCAAAATGCACTTTAAAACATTTTTCTAACTTTTTAGCATTTTCAATTGCGTCATCACAAAAATGTATTTTTTTGTAAACATTTTAATCACAGTAACTGCCTTTTATAATGCTATTATTATCAAACTTTTAATTTCCCTCCCATCTTGTCCAGTTCAATACGTTTGTCGATGATTTAATCTAACTAATCTTGATGGTTAATCAGATGTGTTAAACCAAATGTTCTCATTACATATTACAAAAATCTTGTGTGCACTGAAAATATATATATATAACTGTAATGAAAAGATGAGATCAGGCTTTGAAAGATTGACTGGAAATGTTACAAGTGAGATTAGTTTTTTTTTTTTAGTAGGAGTTTTGAAAGTGTGCACCTTTCATGTGGAAAATTGCAGTAAATGAATAAAAAGAAACTGTAATAAGAAATGTTTCTTGAGCAGCAATTCAGCATATTAGATTGATTTCTGAAGGATCATGTGACACTGAAGAATGTAGTAATGTTGCTGAAAATTCAGCTTTGCCAACACAGGAATAAATGACTTTTTAAAATATATTACAAAACAGGGTTTTTGTTTTTTTGTAACAATATTTCACAATATTAACTACTGTTGATATATATGCTTTTGAAGTAAATGTAGCCTTTGTACTTGCTGAGCATATATATGTATATGCCAGAAAATTTGAATGCCAATAGCAATGACCTCAATAAATCTGAACTGCCACTTATGAACTCACCCAGTTTTGTGAATTCTGGCTCCTGTCTATTCTGAGGATAGGTGGTTCCTCCCAGTAGATATTAGGTTTGCCATGACGCCATATTTTGCTTCGAGTCTTATAGGCAAAATAGGCTGCAACAGCCAGGGCAATCATGACAAACAGTCCACATACCAGAGCCACAGCCTAAAATTAAGAAGAAAACACTGATTTAAAACAATTAATGTTACAGTGAAACTACAGCTACAGAGCAATAAGAAGTGAAAATTACACTCTTAATAAAGGTTCCAAAAGGAGGTTTTCACAGCGATGCCACCAAAGAAATATTTTAGGTTCCCCAAAGAACCTTTCGGTCATATTTTTCTTAGTCTGAAGCACATTTTAATAATCTTAAGTGCCTTTTTCCACTATAAATAACAATTTGTGCAATGGAAAGGTTCTATTTATGTTAAAGGTTCTTCATGGAACCACTGATGCAAATAAAGAACCTTTTTTTAAGAGTGCATGTCTTGGCATACTGACCTCCTCAGGATCCATGAAGCAGTAGTGATAGAGATATCGATTAAAGGACGGATATGCACCTGGGAAGCCTGCTCCAACTCCAGCGCTGATGCTGGGAGTCCCTAATGAGGTCTGACACATCATCAGGATGGGGTTGTACATGATGCTTTGTGAACTCTGGGCCATGGGATTCACCCCAATGACGAATATGATGTCTATAATACACTGTAGAATCGCCAGAACCACATCCACCACTAAAACTGTCAAGTAAAACGTTTTTCCATGCACACACCAAGTCTTTGAGAAACTAACCACTAGGATGGCCAAAGATACTACGAAATTAAGGGCTGCCATGGAGATCATGGCTGATTTTGCTGAGTAGGGTGTCATATAAGATCTCTGATAGCCATAGGTTCCTCCATAGTACCCAGATCCCATCCCATAGCCTCCAGATCCAGCAGCGAAGGCTCCGATGCTTCCCTCGTAGCCGTGCATGTCCCAAACTAGAGTAGAAGCAACACAGGCAAAAATAACAAAACAAAGCAGAGCAGTCAGTCCCTCCATCGTTTTCACAATGCCAGGTGGGGAGAACAATCTGTAGAAGTGCTGAGGGTTTCCCTCCGTTTGAGGAGCATCAGTCACTGAAGAGTATAAGCCATACTCGCTTCTTTGAGAGTAGAAACTTCTGGATGTGTACATATTTGATGGGGCAATGTAGTGTGGACTGTACTGCGGTGGACTGTCATACTGCTGTGTTTCATACATGATTCATGAGATAATCTGAAAAAAGAAATGAGGTCAAATTTAGATCATGAGATCATCTGGGAACAGATATAGCTTTCTGAAACTAAAACCATACTTCATTTTCAGACAAAGAGCTGCAGTCATTTGTTTTAATCATTAAAAATGATATGGACGAGTATAACTCTTATAATCGTGGCGAGAAGACCATTTGTTGCTATTGTAAACAAAACATGAAAACTAAAATAATAATTAAATTGAAATATAGATGAACACAATATATATATATATATATACATATGTATGCAATTATATATATATATATATATATATACACACACACACAGTTATGCTCATAAGTTTACATAACCCTTGCAGAATATGCAAATGTTAATCATTTTAACAAAATAAGAGAGCTCATGAAAATTGCATGTTATTTTTTATTTAGTACTGTCCTGAATAAGCTATTTCACATAACAGATGTTTATATCTACTCCACAAGAAAAAATAATAACTCAATTTATAAAAATGACCCCATTCAAAAGTTTTACATCTTAATACTGTGTGTCGTTTCCTGGATGATCCACAACTGTTTTTATATTTTGTGATAGTTGTTCATGAGTCCCTTGTTTGTCCTGAGCAGTTCAACTGCCTGCTGTTCTTCAGAAAAATCTTCCAGCTCCTGCACATTCTTTGGCCAGAAGGAAAAAACATGCATTAAGAGCCGGGGGTGAAAACTTTTGAACAGATAGGAGATGTGTACATTTGTCTTATTTTGCCTAAATATCATATTCTTTCATTTAGTACTGCCATTCAGAGGCTACAGAATATAGTTACATGTTTCTAAGAAGACAAAATAAGTAAAATTTACCCTGATCTTCAAATTAAAAAAAGTTTTCACCCCCACTGCTGGAAAGGGTTCAAATATGCAGAAGATGCTGGAAAACTGAAGATTCTGCAGGACATGGAGGATTTTTCTGAAGAACAGTGCTCAGTTTAACTGTTCAGAACAAACAAGGGACTCATGAGCAACCATCACAAAACAAAAAAAAACTGTCATAGATCTTCCAGGTAACCACATTCAGAATTAAGAACCAAGGGTTTCCAAACTTTTAAAGGGGGTTATTTTAATAATTTCAGCAATTTTTTTGTCTTGTGGACTATATGTAAACATCTTTTATGTAAAATATCTTACTCAGGACAGTACTAAATAAAAAATAACATGCATTTTGTATGATCTCTATAATTTTGTTAAAATTATTCACATTTTCAGATTCTGCAAGGGGTTCCCAAACTTTCGCATGCCACTGTACATATATGTATATGTATGTATATATATAAAATTTATGTTAACCAAAATAATTGCAAACAAAATAAATGTTTAAGTTGAAGTATTAAAATTACTAAAACTAAAATATAAATAAAATATAACTAAATAGTAAAATAATAAATCTGGAGAGATAAAAATAACAGAAGCAAAATTACAAAATCTTACACAAATTAAGATACAACTGGAAAATATATATATAAAAAGCTTTATTCAAAACAATAATAAAACCTATGACAGTCTATATAAAAATTAATAATAAAACAACACTGTAACTACACATTGCCACTCAACACTTATGTGCTGCCCTCAACTACCATCACCCACATGATTATAATCTCAATTACACATATAATAATTATTTTTAAAATATATAGAAATAATAGTTCTGGTGTCCAGTCATTTCTTCTGAATGGTCAGTACAGCATTCCAATAAAATCCACAGTAGCACAGATGGCACAACTGCGAATGATATTGTTTTTATATAACAATTTGTCTATTTTTTGCTATGCAGATGAAACAATTTCACAACAGGACAAAGCATAATTAATTATCGCATCATCTACAGAGCAATACACAGCCTTCCTGAATCAGTCAGCGTTTCTGAACGAATTAGTTTAATGACTGATTCAATGACTCACTCATAAAAACTATTGCCTGTTTTGTTCCTGAATTCATTAGTGAGTTTGAAAGAATTGTTTGAATTAATCATTTGATGACTCACTCATAAAAACTTGTCCAATTACCAGTGTACCTGTAACCTCCGTCACTAAAACACTGACAATGTCAAATGCACAAACAACACTGTTGGCTTATCAAATTTCATAAATTGCATTTAAACTATACATTTTATCACTACATTTGTTCCCTGGGATTACAAACATGCAATTGTTAGCGCACAACTCTATCCGTAGATCTACAGGAACTTTCAGAGTTCTGATCTAACAGTATAATTAAGATAGAACACACCTCTTTATAGCACAAACAACATTCACAATCTGGAGTCCAGCTTTAAACATCATTCCCTTCATCAGGCTACTGCAATTCAGACGAGATGCTCTGAATAATTCAGAGAAACATGAGCAGATGCAGTCATTGGGGGTTTCCATGCTGTAAGTTTTCTTCCTCACATTTCTGTTGCATCCCCCAAGTGCAATATACAGACATTATATGTGAATAAAAGAGGTGAAGAGATGCACTGCTAACAGGAATATTTCAAATACCGTATCCTTAGTTAATTATGCTTTAGAGAGATGGTGAGGTGCACACCTGTGGTAACTTGAAAAGAGTGAATAAATAATTCAAGAGCTGAAAATCAACCTAGCAAGCTTTATACAGTCTCACAGGTACATGTTGATGGGACAGCTATTCAAGAATAAAGAAAATAATTTTATTTCCCCCAAAAACGGTTTTGTTTATTTGAATATAATTTTACAACTTTCCTCTTGAAAATAAACCGATATCATTTTAGATTGGTCTGAGCATATAGCTGTCAGCTACAATCACATGAAACACTGCAATTGGTATGATTGACAGTGTAAAATAAAAATATAGGATTCGTGAAGTAGGAGTAAAGTTTATAGATTAGTTTAAGCCAAACTGCCGTCATTTCTTACAGTAAAAAAAGAAAAAAAAAGTAGGCGCCATAATAATAATTACACAATAAAAATAATTTTTTTTAGTAATTGCTGTCCTTTGCAGTGAAATTTTGATCACAATCCCGAATCCTCATCTTGATGTGGTTTAATTTTCCTTTCAGATATTCACACCGTTCCTTCTTCTCCAGAAAGTATGGGTCCTTGAGGAAGCACATAATAAGATACATAATAACAACATTTAAAAAAAAATAATCTCTTGTATTTAACTTAGTTTTTGTAGCGGTTTAAGGTGGGTTAGTTCAAAAGGTGACTTACATTCTTTTTTTGATCATATTTTTTCAGTAAGCCATTGATTCTCTTACTCTCCTAAATAAAACAACCAAAAAACAATTGACACAACTGGTTTGAATAGTCTAAGGTAATATTGACGGAATGTATCACGTCTCACCTCAGGGTTTCTCCTGTTATTGATGAGTTGGCTCATCATGTTGTCTAATTCCTGAAACTTAATTAAAGTGGCTGTGATCTCCCTGTGCAGGTCCTTGTACTCCTGGTATTGGTCATTAAAAACTGCTTTGTATTGCTCTCTGTCCTCTACTGAATGAATTTCAGGATATTTTCTGCCAAAAAATAAAAATAAATAAATAACATCTTTTAATATTGTCCCATTTCATATTTTTTATTCAGTATCGACTCCTATTCTATTTACATTAATCCTAACCTAATTTTATTTCTCAAGCCCATCTCATGTTCATCCTATTTTTAACTAATTAACATCCATTTTTGGTATTTTCTATAGACCTACTGTGTGGTTCTTTTGTGATTTTCAACTGCCTTTTTTATGAAAAGATGGGATAATAAGGGATTTGAGCTGAAAATCAACCTAGCAAGCTTTATACAGTCTCACAGGTACATGTTGATGGGACAGCTATTCAAGAATAAAGAAAATAATTTTATTTCCCCCAAAAAAGGTTTTGTTTTTTTTAATATAATTTTACAACTTTCCTCTTGAAAATAAACCGATATCATTTTAGATTGGTCTGAGCATATAGCTGTCAGCTACAATCACATGAAACACTGCAATTGGTATGATTTGACAACATAAGATTAAACAGTACTGCGACATGTCGGTGTTTTGCACTTTTGCGTTGACTACAATCCATTCTAAAAAGGTAATTTTGTGGTAAATAATTGAAACATTATGTAACTTACCGTAACACAACAGCCACTGGGCTTTTCCTTGTTCGCCTTGGTCCCGCTTTTCTAAGCTTGACAGTTTTCTGTCAAGTGTTGTTTAGTGTTTGAGTTTATCCGTTTGATGTGAATACCTGTGACAGCTGCTGCTCATGGTCATTTGTGTGAAAGACCTGGGCCTGAAACTCTAAACCCGATCCAACCCGTTGCTACTGACACAATCAGTCTTATTGGCTATTGATGAGTTGGCTCATCATGCTGTCTAATTCCTGAAACTTTATTAAAGTGGCTGTGATCTCCCTGTGCAGGTCCTTGTACTCCTGGTATTGGTCATTAAAAACTGCTTTGTATTGCTCTCTGTCCTCTACTGAATGAATTTCAGGATATTTTCTGCCAAAAAATAAAAATAAATAAATAACATCTTTTAATATTGTCCCATTTCATATTTTTTATTCAGTATTGACTCCTATTCTATTTACATTAATCCTAACCTAATTTTATTTCTCAAGCCCATCTCATGTTCATCCTATTTTTAACTAATTAACATCCATTTTTGGTATTTTCTATAGACCTACTGTGTGGTTCTTTTGTGATTTTCAACTGCCTTTTTTATGAAAAGATGGGATAATAAGGGATTTTCCCACCAGTCAGGTTTATTTCAAAGTCCACACCAAGAAATAGCAGCATGAATCAAAACACCACATGGCACATTATCCATCAAGTTGTCCAAAGCCCTTTCTAAAATTGTCTATATGTAGAGCAGTTGGGTTTAAACCATCTATAGTCACCTAATAACATTTACAGATGAAAAAAGAGCCTTTCTAGATCCTTTTTAAATTTTTTAATGGGTTTAAATGGGTTAATACCTACTGAATATAACCAACGCCTGTTACATTTGTGTGGCATAAATATATCATTTATTTTTGTTAGACCAGAAATAAACCATAAAGTATACTAACATAATATAATCAGCGACGACTCTGGGTTTAGGAATGTGTCCTGTTGGAATAGCTCCAGTTAAAATCTTTCTTTCTTCAGCTCTCTCTGAGACATAAGCCAGTCTGCTCTTACTCACAGAGCTTTGATCCATTTCATCTCTGAATGAAATTTTCTTGGATCTAGTCGAGGAGCTGCCCATATTGGATGTGGATTCCAGAGTTTGCTGCTGTAACTGAAAGATAACAGCCATTACAATTAGTCAAACTTGATAACAACATTGAGGATTTTGTGGAAACTAGAAATGTAATTAGTGTTGTTTGTAGTTAAAAGTGAAGCAAAAACCCTGTGATCACTATTATAAAAATGTTTATGACCAAAGACAGCCATATTCTAATGAATGAAATACACACTACCTTTCAAACGTTTGGGGGGGGGTTAAGATTTTCTATTACTTTTGAAAGTGTCTTTTACTCACCAAGGCTGTAATATCATAACAGTAATATCACTGTCTATTTTAATTTACTCCTGTGATGGTAAAACTGGATTTTCAGCAACTTCAGTGTCATATGATCCTTCAGAAATCAGTCTAATATGCTGATTTGGTGCTCAAGAAAAGGTTAATCTTATCAATGTTGAAAACAGTTATGCTGCTTAATATTTTTGTGGAAACTGTGATACTTTTGATGAATGGAAAATTTAAAAGAGCAGCAGTTATTTGAAATATAAATATTTTGTAACATTATGCATGTCTTTAATGTCACTTTTGATCAATTTAATGTGCACTTGCTAAATAAAATGATTAATTTCTTAGAAAAAAACAACAAACTTTTGTGAGCGCATTTACCTGGCTGTTCAGCTGGCTTGTCATGGCCTCCTTCTCACGGCGGGCAGCTTCATGCCTCCACATTTTAAGGCACACTAGGAAGCTTATCAAGTACATGACCATGTTAATGAATATAAACGCAGTCCCAGCCATCTGACCCCCCTCGACACGACACAGGCTAGACAGGACTGGGTTGATACCGACCGTCATGAAGCAAAGCCCACCACGATTCAGATCATTCACGTAGACAATACCCGCTGCCATGTACAGCAGCGAAATGACCAGATTCATAACAGCCTCAGTAAGAGGCCACCATTTGGAATCCAGCAGGATCGTTCTGTAATACATTGTTAATCCCAAAACCAGCAGGATAACGGTCAGTATCCATGAGAGTCCAACAATGACCAACACAAAGGCTGTCAAGGGGCCATTGTAACGGTATCCTTGTGCACCAGCCAACCCATAATTTGGCCTGTAATAGTTGGACCACTCACTGTCTCTTTGAATATACGCACATACACAGGCGAAAACCATCCCGCCGAACACCAGTTGAAGGCCAGCAAGCAGTCTTAAAAGGCCGGGCCAAGACTTCAGGTAGGAGTATTTTAACTGGTATACCTCTAACTTCTCAGCGTAGTACTCTGCCGGATGGATACTGGTCAGTTCAGATTCAAGTGTGTCATATTTGTATCCCACTGAACCTGGGGGGGAGTTTGGCTTGAGGTCACCTGTAAGCGAATCCCAATGTTTTCTGTCCAACAATGGAGAAACAGGTGGACTACATCTTGTGCCGTTGGGTAGTATTTTAATTCCCCCTGATGATGTGGAATGCGTTTCAGAATCAGTTTTCTTCCATTTCTTAAACACACCAGTCCAAGATTTCAGCAAGGCACTTTTTTTCGTCTTTTCAGCTTCCTTGTCTGAATGGCTCTGCTCATAAGGGGAGTAGCTTGAGTCCTCAGGATTGTCACCATTGTGAACTTCTGAAGGATCCTCCTCTGCATGTGCTCTGTTGAAATCTTCACTTTGTGAGGATGAGATGTCATCCGAATACGGTCTGCCAAGGTCTGTCATTTTGCTGGAGCTGGTGAGAAAATCAAGGTCTAGTAGCTGTAGGCTACACAGTCACCAGAGAACAGACAAACTAAGAATTAAACATAAAAAGATGTTTGTTTGTTCTATATCACTGCCCATTTTTCAAAAGTATTTAAAATTCATAAGAATTGTAAATCAAAAAACATAATTTTATATCCCTGTTGAAAAGATACAGTAATCTTTTATAAAAGATATCAGCATAGTTGGTTGCCAGCCTGTACTGTGTTTTGGAAGCTGGTTATTCGGCAAAATGTCATTGGTTTAACTAAATCTGGTATTGACTTTTCAGCAGGTATTGTTAAAAGGTGTATTCGTTTTTAAAGTTAATCAAATACAGTCATTAACATACTCATACACAACGTTTCCGATCATCAACTAAAAGGAAGCTGAACTTGCTCTTCTCAGCGTTTGTTCTGTAAAACATATTATAATCATCAGCCCTGAATATGAGTAGCACCATGACAAACATAAAAACACTCACCTAGTTGTCAGAATAGTCTGGTTTGCTGTTAGTGAGTATGGCTGTGCTAAAATGGCTTCACAAAGTAAAAACAAGACTAATAAAAGTGAGTCAAAGGCGCTGCAGCAGGAAGCCGGAGCAGAGATTAAACATTAAACCTCCAGAGGCCGAGTCTGGTGACAGGCACAGGCTGGCATTCAACATTTCCCCACAGAAATTGTGTTTGATAACATCCCTCAAACCCTCAAAACGAAAATTACCCAAAACTGCTCATTTTATTTTACTGCAATCATGTAACTACTTCAGAATTAATTTACTAAAAGTCTTTATTCCTTGTCAGTAGCAGCCATCGAGCCTCATTCTGTTATTCATCAGCTAATCACTAGAGGGCAGTAGAGGAGTATTGCCATGGCTCCTCATGCATCGATGTCAGGCAAGCTACCGATTCAAATGGACTTGTGTGAAAAATAATTTCACTCCTTTCTTGTAAAGAAATGTATAAGCCGTCACAGTCTTTATGAGTCAGTTTGATAGTCAGCAGGAAATATAGGACATGTGATCGCATATAGACGCTCCATTTACTGTTGGTATGTGCATCTAGTTTAGTCTAGTTAGTCTAACACTTAAAGGGGTCATATGATGCTGCTAAAAAGAACATTATTTTGTGTATTTGGTGTAATGAAATGTGTTTATGCGGTTTAAAGTTAAAAAAACACATTATTTTCCACATACTGTACATTATTGAACATTTGGGCGGTGTTATGCAAATCTTCCCACATAGTGAGGTAGGTATGTGGGGGCGTGTTCGAACGAGCCGTTTTAGGTAGGTGTGGCTAACTCTTAACTTTTATAAAGAATATCTCTTTGGATTTGAGACTTTAGTCTTTGCAACTTTACAGATCTTCTTTATGCACCAAGAGCTTGTAACACTCTAAAGAGAAAGGAAAAAATGAAATCGCATCATATGACCCCTTTAACTATGGAGATTAAATGATTCATCAGTAATTTTTAGCAGAAGAGATCATGAGGCCAGTGGACAGTAAGGTAAAAATAAAGTGGACAAACACCTCATATTTGAATAGAGGAGTACTGATTTCACTTATCTAGTAAATTCAGCCTCAAAAATGTAATCCTAACAGAATGAGAGAAATACTCATGATCTCATTACATAATCAAGCATTATGTATTATACATTGACATATTGCATGTTTGAATTGGTAAAATGGCCATTGTCTTTGAATAAATTCAGTTAAATTAATCAAAAGTTCTACAAATGAAAAGATACATTTATTGCCACACTTGTTGAAATCCTGTGGAGCACCTCTAGTCAGTCTCTTTAGGGTCCCTTAAATGTCCTATCATGTGCTCAGTGAGTCTTCTTGTAGGAATTTATGGACACCTGCCCTTTTCTAAAAGAGGGTTCTGCCTGTGGCGATCTGAGGAACCACAAATTACCAGAATACTTTATGGTATTTAACTGTGATTACATAAATCTGTGATAAATTTCAATGGCCGTCATGTGTCTGTGCTCTATCAGTGATATGTGTCTTAATTCACCTTGGAAAATGTCCTTAGGCCTGTTTTTGTCCCAAGATAGCTGCCTGTGGTTAATCTTCATTGCTCTTCAATTAAATGTTTATGAAGTCCGCTCCACTGTTAATGGGCATGTCTTACTCTCACATGCAGTCATTACCATGCAGCTTGATGCGGCCCATTTTCTTCACTCTTCTGGGATTGCCTCAGAGATGTCCCTCTGCAACGTTCTCACTCTTAAGGATCTAGGTCTGCCTCCTTCAACAGCACATCAAACACATCAAGAATATATATTTATTTTTAAAAGGATTGATGCATTGCATGTTGACTTAATTGCTAGAACAAGACATTCACACATTTGTCCCAGTTAATTAAAAACTATTGTACTG